TGTGTATGGAGGCAAGGACAGGGTAATGTTGTTGTTGGGGTCCTAACACCAAGTGTCTCTGACGAGGATAATACTGTATGGTTTAAATTTTCAACTTTTGATTGTTCTGTTCACTTGTTTTTGTGGATATTCCATTCTTAGATTGTTGACATTCTCATGATCATTGCTTTGGCAGCCTGATTCATTTTACTTCAATATTCTTCCCTTTGCTGAGGATGTCCGGGAGTTCCAGTTTCCTTCTTTCATCAATCTGCCTTCATCAATGCAGCCAAATGAAAAGCAACAAGAGGCAGCAGATAAATTGGTTCAGATGTTGGATCTTGCACCAACCGGAAAACAGGAAATTTTGCCACCTGACTTTACAACTAATCCTGTTCTGGAGGTATATTGTCACGCTGGTTGCAGGATATCATTGTACTATTTAAGTTTGAAACTACCCTTTCACTTAGGTCACTGAGAGACCATCATCTGCATTTTTTTTGTGAAGAGTTGCCTGAATATAGAAATATTATTGTTAAAATATGTTCTTGCCAGTTGGTCACAGTCATTGTAGCAATTAGCAAACTGATGCATTAACATTTCATACTTTCTTTTCTCGCTGAATTTGGTTAAAAGTAAATAGGTGGAATGCTCGTTCATGTTGTTAGTGAGTTATAATTGTCTTTTAGTTGGTATTGACAACCTTTTCACTGGTTAGGTGGATAACTTGATTTGATTAATCACTTCCATAATTCATTCTCAAAAGAATTAATCACTTCCATAACTCCATTTCATAAGGTTCTAGGTGGTACTTCATATAAAATATATGTGCATAACAGGACACTGGTGATTTAAATCCCTGGAGAATCGGGTCTTAAGAATATAAATGGTGCTGCTTGTCTGTGAACTCTTGCTTTCCTAATGTGAAATAAGAAAAGTAATAACTTTTGGATTCTGATTGTGCGCTATAACCGCTTTTTGCTCTGAGTTTCTAAACAACTACGATTCTGCAAATATCCAGCGTTACTACCGCTATCTTGACTTGAAGTCAAAGCACCCAGATGCAGCTGTTCCTCCACTTGATGAAACCCTCAGAAAAATAACAGAACCTGATGTTGAACTTCTTTCTCGAAACAAGTCCATCATAGAGGAATTCCGTAGGTCTTTTGAACTAAAAGAGAATCCAAAGGTAACTTTCAATATTCATCCTTTATTCAAATTAGACATTCTAGAACAGTCCAGTGATGGAGGTTTGTAAGTCTTATTAACTTTTATATATCATATCATTAACGTGCAGCTGAAAAAATCAACTAGAAGAATTATGAAAGAGAGACCTTCAGGATCAGATGGGGAAGGAGAAGAGTTCGACAAAGATGCTGATGCCAAGGCTATTGACTCCATAGGATACTCATCCAAAGACAAAGTTGAGAAAATTGGAGACATAAATCCTGTTAAAGACTTTGAGGAGATGATGTCTCGAAGAGATAATCCACGATGGATTAGTAAGGCCATTCAGGATATGAAAAATAAGACCTTTGATCTAGTAGAGAATTCTTGTGAAGGCGATACATATGATAAAGCATTGGAATGTTTAGTGGCTCTACGCAGAGGTTGCATCCTTGAGCAAGTATGTTTCTGTCTTCTCTTTTTGTAGCTAGTTAAATATTGATTATCTGTGCTAAGAGCCCATTGTAACTAACGAAGCAACACCAATTTGACCTGTTTAGGAACCAAAGCAGTTCAATGATTTCTTGTGCCACCTGTATAAATTCTGCCAAGAAAAAGACCTGAGAAGTTTTTGTCAATATCTTGCATCTCATGGAATGAACTTGATAACCAAGACGGAAGCTCCAGACAGGTCTGGTCATACTTCTAATTTCTTTAATATATTGAACTACTGACATTGCTCTGGCTCCATGTTTACTTCTTTCTTGTTGTGCTGGATTTATCAGTGAAATTCCAGAACACGAGGCCAGAAGCTTTATGGTCAAGCCTGAACCTGACTCGCAAAATGTGGAATCAGAGGCTAAAGCAGAGGATGATATTATGAGTATATTCCTGGGAGGAAAATAGAAAAGGAAACCTAGAGATGCATATTGTGTGATGTACAGGCAATTAGCATTTTCAGCTAGAAATGACACTTCGTAAAAAAGATTCTCAACTTATTTTGTGCAACGACGGAGAAGGGAGGTTTAGGATAAGGGAAAGAAATGAGAAGATGAATCTTAGACCTTGATGAGCTTTATTTTATTATTCCATGCTCAAGTTTGTTCTTTTGGTTGTTCAAAGTCCAATTTTTATTTGCCTATTTTGTCACCTCTAAATGATTGGTGCTCTTTCAAGATGGAAGTTATCCTGTAGATGCAATGTTCGTGCTTGTTTTTAGCAAGGTATAACAATTGCCCAGTGTTTTTGTTTGCTACAATAGCCACAGAAGCATCAATGGGAGTTGGGAACCTAAACAACTGGCAATGGCAGATGGCTTCCTGGCTTGAGATTTTATTGTCTCTCTCCATTGGCTGAGGCTTTTCTAACAAGGAGCCATGTAGCGCCTGAAGCATATTTGCAGGATTTCAACGAGAATTTTCTCCAACTGGCATAAAGTGAACAGAGAATCGTTTAAGGCATATATTTTCTTACTAGTGCTCATTTGAGTGACTGCATGGAGGCCGTTTGATGAAATTTTACAAAGTTAACCCAAACTCATTTGACCTGCATAACCCGCCCAAGTTTTAATGGGTTTGGGCTAGAACGATTTTGAAAATGGACTATTTTGGGCCAGCCCAAGTTAACACATCAAAAATCATCAGCTCAAATGGACCCATGATGATACCCAAACTTGACCCATGAAAATGCTCAATCTTAAAGTTCTACCTTGGCCCATGATCTGGAAAATATTTTCTATTTTTCTCATATTTGGTTGGTTTAAATGTTTGAAAAATATTTTCTTTATCAATTCGTTTTTCTCCAATTGAAGGAAAATATTTGCCGTATCAAGAGAAGGAAAAATATTTTTTAAAACTCTTTTTCAACCTTCCCATCTCCAAATTGAGGAAAGAAATCATTTGGTATGAATTGGTATTTATTCAAAAAACATAAGATAATATTTATATATGCTTGTTTAAAAGTTGAGAATATTGCAAAGATTTAGATCAATTGGGCAGGTTAGTTACACCCTATTGTTTAGTCCATAGTGATACTTTGGGCAAAGTTGGGCAATGACCTATTTAATGAGTCAGTCTATTTTGACCCGCCCAAATACAACCCAAAGAGCTTATTTGCTACCCCTAACTGTAATCATGTGGGATTATTTTGTATAGTCCAATAGAAAATTTGACCATTTTCTCTTTGTTTGAGAGATCCATGTGTTAAAAAGCTTGTGCCCTTGATCAATCAGGGCAAATCTAGTTCATTATTGTAACAAGAAGGGCAACTCTAACCTCCAGTATTAATAGATGGCGAATGTCGACCAAAAAGTTTAAGGGGCCAACTTGGACCTTTTTCCATAATCCTAATGCGTAGATTATTATGCAGGAATTGTCTATTCAATCTTAATGCTTAAATTATTATCTAGGTTTTGTCTGATTCAAGACATTTTTTCTTTTAAATACTCTTAAAACTATACATTGCTAAAGCATATATTCTTATCTCACATTCTAACCTTTATAAAAGTCGTACCAGAATTAGGGATACGTCTAGTTTCTATTACTTAATTCCACAAATGGAAATAAAACATTCAAGTAGTTATACATAAATTATACTGTATTAGTTGTCCAAGATCTTAGACCGGAATCAAAACTTCATGTAAATCACACGAATATTATACGGAGATCAAATTTCGTATACTTCTAACGACACTATCTCTAAAATTGAAATGATTCTTTCAGCTAAGAAAGCTCACTAAAAACAACCCAAATTACATATCATCAGATAATTTCCATTACAGAATCAAGAACACAACCAGGTATGCAAAAATCGCCACCTGCAAAGAAGGTGGAGAGGCTGGCTTGTCCCATTTTTCTTGTCGCTCACACGTTCAAAAATATTACTACCCAAATGCATGGAAAGTTTTGCCTTTGAGTAGTAGCTTTTCCTCAACAAGTCGGTCCTGGTAATGAAGAAAGTGGTTGTAATTTCTGTCGCTAATTCTTTGTCTAGAACCTGCCTCAGCACCAACTTCCACAGAGAGTTCACGTGACAAAATTTCAAGAAACGATAAGTTCCCTATAGGTGATCTTTCATCCACGAATGAATAATACTAAGCTGGAGTTATCGACGGACTCCAATCAATTCAATATCATACACCAACCACGAGTTTGGTGGGATATTCTCCTCAGCTCCCTGATTACCGTAGCTGCAAGAACAAAAATAGCAAGAATTATTCAAAACCAGAAAAGGAAATTACATGTATGAGTGTGTGCACTCAGTAGCGGAACCAAGATTTTGGAAGGAGGAACAGAACTTCCAAAAAAAATGAGGGGGAAGCAGGGGGAGGGATTTGTTTTCAAAAAGATATCTTCAGAAGCTGAATGTGCAGCATACCCCATTGATGGCGGGACTGTGAGCCTTCTTTTATCACCCACACGCATGCCTGTTATGGAAACATAATATAAGGATTAGTAGCTGCAGATGCGAAAGAAAAGAATTAAATAAGAAATGAGATATCAGATCTACTCATCACTGTCTTTACCGTCAAGACCAAGGTTCCATCCCTCTATGATGTCTTTGTCGCCTTCAAACAATAAAAAGGAAAAGCAGAGTTTAATAAAGGTTCACGAAAATAAAGTAGATTCTTCTATGGGTCCTGTGAGTACCTAGCCGAAACTTATATGGAGATTTTCCAATATTTGAGTAAAAAATCTGTCCATTCTCCTTTAGCTTGCCAGTGTAATAAACTTTGATC